CCTCTGGCCTGCCTGCCCTCCGGTCTCCTGCCGCCCTGCCGCTGCCGCCCTCTGGCCTCGCTGCCTGCCCTCCGGCCTCCCTGCAGCCATCCAGCCTCCCGCCATCCTGCCTCCCGCCTCAAACCCCCCTCAGGTTGACGTCTTCGTCTACGGCGGGGATGGCATGGACGAGGCGAGCGGCATGGCGGCATCCGGCAATGTGCTCGCCGTCTCAGGCCATTTCACAGGCAACCTCTCCGCCGAGATGACCGACGGGACGAAGAAAACCATCCGGAACTCGAACGTCCCCCCCGGCGACCTGCCAGCGCTCGCGGACCAGTTCCACCCGAACGTAAGGGACGCGTCGGCGCACACGGGCGTCGACGACGGCTTCGTGATCAAGGCGGACGCGTCGACCGGCAAGGCGCACTGGATCGTGCACTACCCCCAATCGAACAGCGACGCGCAAATCGTCGGCGTCGACGTCGACGCGAGCGGCAACGTGTACGGCTCGGGCTATGAGTGCGCTGTGGCGGCTGGCGAGACGGCCAAGATGTGCCACGGCATCGTCGCCAAGTTCGCCGCGGCCGACGGCGCTGTCGCCTGGGAGCGCAAGTTCAGCGACCTCGGCGCGGCCCTCTGGCTCAAGCACGACGCGAGCGACGACTCCATCTACTTCACCGCCACGACCACCTATGGCGGCTCGGCCAACGGGAAGGCACACGCCAACTGCGAGCACGCGTCGTGCGCCGTGACCGCGCGTCTGTCGGCGAGCGACGGCACGACCGACTGGATTCGCACCTTCCAAGCCTCTCCACGCTGGGGCGTGTTCGATCAGTCTGGCGACATCGAGCTCGCGGCTCCGGCCGACGGGCCGTACCTCTACGCCGCCTTCGACGACGCAGCAGAGATAGGCGCCGTCACCTTGGACGCCGGGACTCCGTACGCGGGCTGCAAGGCGGCCGACGGGGCCGTGACGCCCGAGTACGAGATGGACATCTCGACGTCCAAGCGAATCACCGCCGACGATTGCCCGCCGGGCTCCACCTTTGTCGCGCAGACAGACGCTGATGCCGTCCCAGCGGCCGCCGCAAAGACCTACGTCCTCTGCGGCGACAAGACGGACGGCGACGCTTGCATCGTCAAGTACCACAAGTACACCGGCCTGCCCGTGTGGTCCAAAGACCTGCCGATGGTGGCTGGGCTCGCCGTGATGCCCGACGGCAAGTCGATCATGGCAACGGGCTGGTACTACTACTCTTGGCCGGAGTCGGGGCGCACCTTTGGTGACCGCGTGCTTCCAGGCTACCTTCGCGCCGGGGGGCTCGGCTCGCAGCGCTGGGGCATCTACCACGCCAAGCTGACCACCGCTGCCGGCCAAGGCGCATACGTCCTCCACTCTGGCGGCGGGCTGTCTGACCGCGTCTACGATATGGTGGTGGACGCAGAGGGGAACACCTACAGCGTGGGGTACACCAAGTCGAGCGTGATGAACTGGGCCGGGCCGGGCGGCCTGCAGACCAGGAACCTCGAGCAGGGCGGCCAGGCCGACGACACTAAGACCTCGCCGGTCACATCGGAAGAGACGCACCTGTTCGTGGCGAAGCTCGCGTCGGCGGAGGAGGCCGTGCCGGAGTGCCTTTCCGCATGCTCTGGGACGACCGACACCGCCACGATCACGAGCGGCTCCTGTTTCATCGACGGCGTGTGCTACTTGGATGGCGACACAGCTGAGGCCTTCGGCGCGCCGTGCCACCAGTGCGACGCAGCGAGCAGCCAGACGGAGTGGACTCCCGGCTCGAGCCAGGGGACTACGCATTGCTTTGTTGACGGCATCTGCTGGGAGGACGAAGCGCGCCTGTTCACCCAGAGGCGCACGCATTCGAACAAAGTCCTCAGCAGCTGTCAGTACTGCTCGCCAGAGGCGGCCGCTACTGCGTGGAGCATCAAGGCCGGCTATGAGCTCGTCGACGGCGCATGCGCCGCTGTGTCGCCGTCACCCCCGCCGCACACCGGCACATTCACGGACGACCACGGGACGACGCACGTCTGGTGGACGTCGAACCCGACTGTCGTCGCTGGCGCCTTCCAAGCTTTCACTCTCATCGACATGGGCCTGCCGGCGAGCCAGGTCATTGGTACGTTTGGCGAGCGCGGCACGTCGGGCTCGAACGTCAACGGCGTGTACGCCAACTACAACAAGGTCACCTACGGCGTCGATCACGCCGCCTCACCGTACGCCGCGCCTCACTTCCCGACGGACCCGACGGCGGAGGAGCAGGCGCTCCTCGCGCAGAAGATTGACGTCTCGCCCAGCTGCTCCGGCGCCAACGACTGGTGCTCCGAGTTCAACGTGACGATCCTCGACGAGCAGGGCTGGCCCGACATCATCGTCGCGGGCCCGCTCTTTGCCGCGTTCATCATCGACGACGAGGTCACCGCAAAGGCCGCCGAGCGGGGCGTCCCAATCATCCTGCTCGACGACACGGCGGCGGGCAAGCAGAAGAAGTCCTTCATTGAGATCGCGGAGCGCTTCGAGGAACTGGCTGCAGCGCTTGGCGCAGACACGCGGGCGGCCACCGCTGCCGCCAAGCAGGCGTTTTGCCGCAGTGCCGAGGAGTTCAAGGAGTCGGCACGTGCGGCGTCGGAGCGCGGCGTCCGGGCGCTTGCGGGCGTCGTCCCATTCGGCACTCCAGACCAGGAGACGGGCGACATTGGCGGGTGGCTGCAGTCGCCAGACCGCAACCCTGCTCTGACAATGCTCGAGGCGCTCGGCATGCAGATCCTCCACACCGACACCGCGCAAGGCAACTACTACGAGGCTCACTTCGCCAAAGGCTGGCCCGACTACACTGGCGACATGTCGGCGACCAACTTGATGTCGAGCGGCAGCCTCACTGGCGTGCCGGTGCCGTACCATGTCGACTTCTGGCTCTACGAGCCCCGCGTCGCCCTCGACTTTACGAGCGACGCCTTTGCCGTCGCGTGGCCGCACCCGGCTGTCGCCGCAAAGCAGTACGCCGTGTACCCGATCACCACCCTGGAGTACTCGTACGGCCACGCCTCGAGCATCCTCGATACCGTGGGCAACAAGCTCAAAGATGCGGCCAAGCTCATCCCAGCGGATGTGCGTGGCGCTCGGCTAGCACCCCCACGCGTAGCGGCTGGCATCAGACACAACTGTGTGCGCCAACACCCGCCGCCCCCCTCGCGTGCAGACCACGTGCGTGCAAGTCCCGTTCGTCGAGGGCGAGCACTACCGGACGACCGGGCTGGCGCCTGGCGCCTACGCCTGCGCCTCGCCGGCCATCGAGTACAGCTGGTGCCCGGCTCTCCTCCCGCCGCCGCCGCTGCCGCCGCTGCCGCCGCCGGCATCTGACGACGACGACGACGATGGTGACGGACTCGGTGGCGGGGCGGTTGCCGGCATCGCCGTCGGCTGCATCGTCGCCGGCATCCTCATCGGGTTCCTGGCAACCAAGGTCATTGCGCGCCCGATCATGGGCTCGGCGTACACGACCGATGGCAGCAAGGCCTGAGGACTGAGGGCGCGAGCCGTGCGAGCGGGAAGCCGTATCGACGCTGGCGCTGCTGTCAAGGCACAAGGCGCGCTGACTTCGGCCACCTGAGACGCTCTAGACATGATAGACGCTAGGCACAGGCTCGCGATACATGCTAGGCGATACATGATAGATGTGGACATAGAGATATAAACGGACGCCGGCGCTGCAGCTCCACAGTCAGAGCCCAAGGGCTGGAGGTACGTCTTGAGGGCCGTCGGCGTGTTCTGGGCAATCCCAACACTGTTGGGAAGCGAGATGTTTGCCCAGATAGTGTTCTGGTTGGCGACGCGTCCAGCCTGCTGACGCGGCGAGGCGTCCCATCGAGCTTGAGCCTTGCCAAAACGTGGCCGTGCGAGTGAGTTTTTCCGCACACTGTTGGTATAAGCGACGAGGTCGTACGTTTGAAGGGTGGAGGGGCCCTGGGGCCGAGGGTAAGAGGCCGTTTGCCGCTTGCTTGTTCTTGACGTCGTTGACCCAGTTGGCACGCTCAAGGGGGGAGTTGACCCAGTTGGTGCGCATCTTGCGCGCCTGCTTGTTGATGTTGTCGGCGTCGCCCGCCACCGCCGCCATGGAGATCTGCTGGGCTGAAGCCGGCAAGCAAGCACGCCAGGGCAATCATTGTTGATCGGCGCGCTCGCGCTGCTCCCCTGACGCTGCTCCCGCGCTGTCCCCCCGCCCTTCACGCCCTCAAAGCCGGGAGGGAGCCCGCCGCGCGCCAGATCACTTGAAAAAAAACAGTCTCCTCGCGTGTGTGCGGGATGTCTGTGGTGTCGAGAGCGATGTTGCCAGTGACCCAGTGTCCGTCCCCTATTTTCCCCGCCACAAGGGACGCAATGGGGAATTTGAGTGCCGGGAAGGTGACGTTTCAGGATGTGGTTTTATCGTTTTAGGACCTAACGAAGAGGTCTTAGTTGGGTCGTAATTGAAATTGTGGCCGCCGCCACCCCGGTCCCCGCCACCCGCGACCCGGTCGCAGCTCGCACCGCCGCCCTAACACCACGACCAGCCGCCCTACACAGTACCGATACAAAACTAATTTTGACGAGGGACAACAGCCAGAACTTGGCAGAGAACTAGAGCCACAGCCAGATAAGCCGGAGCGGACTTTGCCGGCCACAAGCACAAAAGACCGCTCTGAAAACGATTCTGTGACAGTGACACATCCACATGCGCGAGCGGGACACGGCTCACGGGACACCCCGCCGCGCGTGTGGACTCAACAACACGGCGCGCTCTCTGCAGATAGGGAAACACAGCGCGCTCCCAGCCTCCCAAGAGGTACTGGCGCACCTCGCTACGGGAGAGGGTGTGCAGCCGAGGGGCGGCAGCGGAGAGGCCCTCGCGCGGGACGGTCCGCCACGCGGGCGTGTGTGCTGTGATGCACAGCAGAGAGAGCGAGGACGGCACGCATGGACAAGGGGCTGGGGGGCCGAAGTGGACCCCGGGTCAGAGTGCCGGTCAGTAGTAGCCGGGCGAGCCGCGCGAGGCGCCCTCGGAGAGCGTCTCAGAGAAGCGCTCTTCCTCGCGCGGCGAGCGCGGCGGCGCGAGGCTGCCGAGAGGCACCGAGAGGCCTCCGCCTGATGACGAGTTCACTCCTGTCAATTAGCCATTGCTCACGGCGAGGCATCCGAGCGGCACCGAGCAGGCCTCCTCCCTCGCCGCCGCCGGGCATGGCTGCGGCGTCCTCTGGCACTGACTGCGCGAGCAGCGAGACCACGTCGTAGTTGATGCGCGAGGAGAGCTGCCTGGGGGGGGGGGGGGGGGTCGACAGAGCACGCGGCCGCCTCCGGCCCCGCGCACGGGGGCGCGCCTGTTGCGCCGCAGCTCGCCCTCGACTGCCTCCGCCGCTGACGACGCGGCGCCGCGTCCGCCCTGCTCGCCGCGGCGCGCGCGCTTTTTTGGGCGGCGGCGCTGGCCGGCGGCGAGGAGCGCCTCCGCCGTCTCCCCGTCGAGCCCCCTCGCCGCCGCCATCTGCTCGCGCGCCGCTTGCTTCGCCGCCTGGGCCTCGAGGTACTCCTTGTTCATCTCGTCCCACGCCTTCGCCTTGGTTGCGACCTCGGCCTCGTCGGTGATGAGGTACGCCTCCACCTACCCTCGGGTGAGCTCGGGTGAGCTCGGGTGAGCTCGGGTGAGCTCGGGTGATCTCGGGTGAGCTCGGGTGATCTCGGGTGAGCTCGGGTGATCTCGGGTGAGCTCGGGTGATCTCGGGTGAGCTCGGGTGAGCTCGGGTGAGCTCGGGTGAGCTCGGGTGAGCTCGGGTGAGCTCGGGTGAGCTCCGGCCTCGTGGGTGATGGCGGCCCGCCCTCCACCCATACCCCCACAGTACCCAACCCGTCCCCTACCCCACAGTACCGAACCTCATCGTCGAGCCGATCTCCCCATCTCTCCCCATCTCTCCCCATCTCTCCCCATCTCTCCCCATCTCTCCCCATCTCTCCCTCCACCTCATCGTCGAGGGTGTCGAGGTCCGTGTTGAGCTCATCCATCAGCGCCTGGGCGGGAGATATAGGGAGATATGGGGAGATTGGGGGAGATTTGGGGAGATGCGGGAGATGGCGTGAGCTCGTCCATCAGCGCCTGGGCGGACGTGTCGCGGACATGTCGCCCCGCCCTGCCAGCCTCGCCCTCGCCCTCCCAGCTACCCCCCACTACAGCCGCGCCTGCTGCTCCTCCTCGTCGTACTCCTCCTCGCCCACCCGACACGATATCGCGTCCGCAACCTCCCACGCCGTCGGAGGAGCGGGCAGCCGCTCCTCCTCCTCGCCCGCCGCCGCGCCCGCCGAACTGCTGCCCGCGGCGGTCCCCTCGCCCTGCCTGTGCCCTAGCTGGAGCACCACCTCGCTCCGCAGCGCCTCCTCAACCTCCGCCTCCAGCCCGTGCGACTCCGCCTCCGCCGCCGCGCGAGCCTCGACGTCGGCGCCAAACGTCACCCTCCGCCGCCGCCCCCCGCCGCCGCCGCCGCCGCCGCCGCCCTCCTCCTCCTCCTCTCCTTGCCTCTGCGTCGCCTCGTCCCCGTCCTCCTCTCCCTCTCCTTGCCGCTGCGTCGCCTCGTCGCCCTCTCCCTCACCTTCGCCCTCTCCCTCTCCCTCTCCCTCGGCCGGACCCTCGAGCAGCAGCGGCGCCTCGCCCTCGCCCTCGCCGCCCTCCGGCAGCTGCAGCTCCGTCTCTGGGCACTCCAGTTCGAGCAGCCGCGCCAGCAGCTCCCGCTTGCGGCCTGCGGGCGGGCGGGCCAAGGGGGGAGCAGGGGGTTAGGACGCGGGGGGGGCAAGAGCCAAGGAAGAAGGGGGGGGGCCTGACAAGCGTCCGCGAGAACCCCCCACCCGCCTGGGGCCCGGGCCCAACGGCCAAGAAGGGGAGCCCCCCCCTCCCCGCTCCCTCCCCGCCGCCGCCGCGCGCCGTCGGTGGGCTCTCCGAGCGCCAGGAGCCGGCGGCGCAGCGCGGGCATCTTGAGTGCCCGGATCTCGCCCTCCCGCCGCTGGCGCGACCCCTCCCCCTCCGGGTCCATCAGCAGCCGCCGCTCTGCCTCGTCGGCGCGCCGGTTGCGCAGGAACGAGGGCGGGTCGGCGGCGGCGCCTAGTCCCATACCTCCAGGGTCTCGAATCCAGTGTGTGGGCTCAGGCGGTGTGGTCGCGGGGCCGACGTTGCGAGTACGCCGACGTGAGGGCGGGAGGGCGGTGTTGTGCAGTGTCTGCAGAGCACCGCGTGAGGACGGGGGGGGTGAAGACGGGTGCATACAGGTGAATGCGGCCGAGTGCCGCGGAGTGCGTGTCCTCTCGAGCGCTGGTTTGGAGGTGGGGAGACAAGACTGCGTGCTCCGCTTCTGGGGCCCGAGATATGGGGAGATGTGGGGAGATATGGGGAGATGTTCCGCTTCTAGGGGGGGGGGGTGCGGCGCCATACGACTCGAGGTCAAACTCGTTGTCGCCGAGCTGGTTCGCGGTCAGCTGGCCGAGAGAGGTGTCTGAAAACTCAATCAGCCGCTTGCGCAGCGAAACGTCACAGATGCGGACGACGCGCACAACCTGTTGCGGGGCCGAGAGGAGGGGGTAGGGGGGGGGGGGGAGGGGAGGGGGGGGGTTGGGTCCTGCGGGGAGGGCGACGCGCCGGAGAGGTGGAGGTGGTGGCCGAGGGTGTGACATGAGGGGAGGTGGCTGCGGAGAGGCAGCTAGGGGGGCGCTGCAGTCGGAAATGTCTCGGAGGTGTCTCGGAGGTGTCTCGGAGGTGTCTCGGAAGTGTCTCCGCGGAACCGGCGGCCGCACCTCGCGCTGTGTGCGGCGGAAGCCGTGGATGCGCGCGGCGATGAGGAGGGCGGCGCCGCAGATGCCGGACGGGCGGCGGCCGGTCTGGATCCAGTCGCGCTTCATGCGCTGGACAAGGCGGAGGGCGGACCTGCGTGTGGAGGAGCCGCTAGTCCCATACCTCCAGAGTACCGAATCCAGCGTGTGGGCTCGGGCTCCGCGGGCGGTGTGGTCGCGGAGCTGCGGCGGAGGAG